ATATAATATAATATAATATATATATACATACATACACATACATACATAGACACACGCAGAAAGGACTGGCTTTGCAGTGGCTTCCAGAATTACAGTGCAGGCTGCCAACAGCCTGCGCCGTGCAAGTCGTCCAGCTTGTAACATTGCTCGTGCCGGTTCTACCTGAATTTAATGCAGCCATCCCGCTCGGCTGACAGGTGGTGGTGCTGCCAGACTGCAGACACGTCTTCCATCGTGCCTGCACCCTGGCTACACCAATCGGGGACTTGGTGCTTGTACTAGTGGCGCTTTCCGGGAACAATCTGAAAGAACCTAACCTTCGGTGAAGGACCATGACCCTCGCAACACCAAATGTTTTTCAGCCGGGCGGCAAGAGTGCATGCGGGCCACTAAATTAGGCTGCAATTGGACTTCTCTGTTGCGATGCTCCCAACTAACCTGCCACCACGACGCTAGTAGAAGAGGCTTTCAAGTTTGCGGAATCATTGAGCCGGGAGGCTAGCGACAATCACAGTACCGACCATGACTATGCACTCCAGTCTCTCAGAATTTGTGAGGTGCCCAGCAGCTAATGGATACTGACGGCAGGCCGAATTGCACATCTCACTGGAGAGAATTGGACCTGTTATCAGCATGTTAAGTCCAATGATCAGGCGACCTGGAACACTCGGTTCTTGTTGGTAGAGGTAGAGGAGCGGGGTGTAGGATTCTAGCCTTTGCAGCTATAGGGTTTTAGGGTTTAGTTTGTTCAGAGCAACGGTTTGGCACCATATCTTTGATCGATTCCAGTGTGGACTGTGCACTTCAACTTCCGTGTAGATCTCACAGCCCTATTGATTGCTGTTCTATTCTGGTGTGTGCTCTTGGCTTTTGCTCCCAGCGCTGAATGCTTTTGGGCCTATGCTATTCGTACTGCTTTCTGCTTTCTGCCTTTTCTCTCTCTGCGACATTCTACTTATTACTTCAATCTTGCTGCTTAAAATTTCTACGTGCTGTTGTCTGTTTTTGCAGATTTGATTAGGCATTTTGGCATTCTGTGTGCTCGCTTCTCATATGACAACTGCAATTGCCAGTGTTTCTGCCGCTGTTTCTGCTTGCATGGCCTCCAGCAAACACAAACATGTGCTCTCAGTCCTCTTGTATTGATAAGCTTGTGGGCCCCAATCAAGCCTTTCAAAGCCTTCTGGTGACCAGGTGCCCTTGCTGTCGAAGGAGCGTGGACTGGTGCCGGACCAAAAGTGTTCAGAGCTCTCCGTGATGCTGCGTGTTGAGTCGTAACAACATTACAGCCAACATCGACAACAGCGAATACTGTAGAAATCGTCGTCATCATCATCATCATCATCATCAGCATCATCATTATCATCAACATTATCATTACCATCGTCATCATCCTCCGCATCCTCGTGTTCCTGAATCGTTTTTGGATCCAGCTGCCTCCAAGACGCGTCGAGACACGTCGAGTTGCTTCCCGGCCCCACGCCCTTCGCCCGGCCTCGCGGGCTTCGCCCGAGAGGTCTTCCCTGCGCGAGTGACTTGGCCCTGGCGGCCTTGGCGCCGCTCACCACCGCTCACATGCTTGAAGGGCCCTGCTGTCAGCAGCCAAAGCAGTTGCGATGTACAGTGTACAGATTCAGTGGGAAACCAATCACTGCGACGCGAATGCCAAATCCTCGAGCACCGATGCAGTCGGCTGAGAAATTGCACTGTAACGAGCAATTGGCCCTGTCTAGACTGTCGACACATGACCGATGGTCGACACATGACCGATTGAGCCACTCGCGCCGGCTGTCGGAGGCACCCGGCCAATGTGAGGATACTGAGGAGATTGCGCAGACTGGAGGGAGAGATGAAGGCGCGGCTTAGTTCAAGTAGAGAGCTGAACGGTAGTCCAGGCTTCGGATCCTCACACCAAGACCTGGCCAGCTTCACGTAAACCTTTCCCCGCCTGTGAAATCGTGGTGCCGGATGCTGCACCTTTGACAGCGCTGAAGACAGCGATACTGAAGGTGTTTTCGAAATCTGTGCAGCTGCACCGCTGGCCGGCGAGTAGGATAGGGTGAGGTGGTGGCATGAGCGGTGCGGCACGCAACTGAGAGCACGTTTCGGCGCATTGCACGGAGGGTGCAAACCGAACATGCCGCGTGAGGGGGGAAAGCAGTACAGAGATGCGATGTGGCAAGTCTGCACATGGCAAACACATCAGGCCGCCAACAACGCCGACAAAAATGCATCTCATCGCATTCGTGCCGTGGTGCTCCTCCTCCACGAGCATGGCGTGTTCATATCGGCTCAGGCCTAAAACCAAAGCCAAGCTCGTAAGACTCCGTGCAAAGAAACCCAGCAACTTCTGGTGGTTCCTGTGCCCCAGCTGAAACCCAGTCACGGCGGAGAGGCGGAGTCGGCCGCGGTCGGCCGCGCCGAGTTGCGATTGGCGTGGGCTGCCTCAACGTACTGTGAGCAAGCAGGCGACAATTGGACAAACCAGATGTGACCGGTCCAACCTAGCACATAAAGCCTTGCAGTGGCTGTTACAGGATTAGGATGCAGAGGCATCCGCAGCGCTACATCGGTCATCATGCAGACAAGATTAGCGACGGAGCCTTCAGGCATCGACGGAATGGTGTCAACAGCCATGTGTTGCAAGCACGGCGAATACTGTCAGGGATAAGCAACGGTATCGACTCCCGGCATATGTCGAAGCCGGATGCAAGTTTCCTACCCAACAGCCAGAAACAGAGTCACCCGAACCTGGGATCCGAGGCACCCGAGCGATAACAGTGTGCACAGCACTGCATGTGATGTGCGAAGCAGTCCTCAGTTACCTTCTTTGGCAACCTGTTTGTCCAGTTGGACGGGTCCACGGTGGCGCCTTTCGCTGACACGCCCGTTCTTCAGCACCGTCGTATCTTTTGCTGCTTTTGCGAAAACAGCTAATGCTTTGAACGGTCACCTGTTGGTTTGAGGCGTCGCAAGAGACGCCTTTGGCATGCAGATCCATCCGATCAGCCCCACAAGGTGCAGCTGCGTTTGCTGCGTAACGCTTTCATAAGGTCCGATGTTGCGGATTCTGCATGCAGCTCCAAACGTGATGCGAGGCATTTTACGAGGTGATTGGAGGTTAGTTTTTTGAAGACCTGAGTTTGACTGTAATCGATGTGGTCTCAGACTCCAGTAAACATCAGATGCCATGGCAGTGAAGACAAGACCATCTTCCTCCCAGTGACAGTTGCATTGCGCCTCCATCTCTATGAACATTAACATGGTACCTGTAGGCACTGGTAGTATAGTAGTGAGGATACTCGTTCTGCTTGTCCACCTTTGTTGGTGACTGTGATGGCGAGGGAGGGCTTCAGCTCGAGCTGGCTGTGGGTTTTGAGGCAGTGGCAGCGCTGAGTGGCCTGTACCAAAGTGATGATGATTATGAGGAGATGATGGTGGTGAGGGTGATACTGGCGGTGGTCATGACAAGCGCGATGGCGGTGATGGGCTTGGAAGCGAACTAGACAAATTCAGAAGAGGTATGCGAGGAGGAAGAGGACCAGGAGGCGGAAGATAAATATTGAGATTGAGTCAAAGATCACGATCATGCTAATGCTGACGATGGTGAGGATGAGGATTTGGCGGTGCTAACAATACTTGTGATGGTGGTTGCCAGGATGATGATGCAGATGATGATGACGATGCAGCTGATGATGGTGATGAAAAGGAGCTTCCTTCCTGTGCAGTACCGACTCTGCTTCAGCTGCTGTCCTGGCGTGACTTCGACACGCAGCAGTAGATCTGACTCAATGTCAGGCTTACAAGGTCCGTGTCCAGCACTCAGCTGCGGCTCGTGCTTGCTTCAGTAGTTTGGCTATCAGCACCAAGGGAAACGCTTTTGCTGAAGTTGAAGCTTGATTTAAGATGCCACTCAGGCCACCATACAAGCACAGCAGGCCTCATTGTTTCGTCGGCTTCGAAGGTGCCCATCGCTCCTGTTTGAAGCCGACAGTGCCAGCCTTGCTCCTTCCAGGTATCGTTTGGGTGGCTTTGAGCCGAACCTTGTCAAGGGAACCTTTGCCAGAGGCCCAACATGGAATATCCACGCCAATCCACGCTCGACGGTTGCCATGGGTTTGTCAGGCAAAGGGCTAACGGTAGATTTCGGACATAATTCACCCAAGGCACCACTACGCAAACTTCGCTCTGCAAAAGCGCCGGACTAAGTGGACGTGACACCGTTGAGTGCAATGCGGCACCCACGAAGCTGCAAGATCATGCCACTCTGACTCCTTGTACTTGAAATTCCCATTGCGGTGCATTCGGCAGATTCATAAGCTGTCGGTGGTCGCTGGTCGATTCGAGGACAGTGCAGGGGTATCTCCCGTGCTCAGTCTGGACCAATCCGTGGTGAGCTACCAAGCATCTGCAGTGCAGCATGTGCAGCGCACAGCATTTTTGTACAACTTTGGCTTGAGTTAGGGCCAGGGAGGACATATTCATGGCTGAGGCTTTGG